CGGGAGCTGGAATTAGGTCTCGGAGCAGGGGGAGGAATCAAAAATTCGGGATTGGCAGGCGAGGGAATCGCTGCAGCCGGAGCAGCTGCGGCAGCCTGGGAATGCTGAAAACCGGGAATGCTGAGCATTGGGAATGCTGAGAACTGGGAATGCTGAGCATTGGGAATGGGAACCCTGGGAATGGCGAGCACTGGGAATGAACACCCCGGGAATGCTGAGAACTGAGAATGCTGAGCATTGGGAATGAGAACCCTGGGAATTCTGAGCATTGGGAATGCTGAGCATTGGGAATGAGAACCCTGGGAATTCTGAGCATTGGGAATGGGAACCCTGGGAATTCTGAGCACTGGGAATGAACACCCCGGGAATGCTCGGGAAGGAGCAGGAGCCGGGGGAAGCCAGGGAAGGGCCGGGGGGCTCCTGGCGCTCCCTGACATTCCCGATCCCAGAGATCCCCATCCCAATCCTGGAGAGTGGAAAAGCTCCCCCCTTGTCCCTCCCTGGGCCACCGGAGAGCCTGGATGTTCCGGAGCATTCCCGGAATCCCCAGCCATGAATTCCGGCTGCTTCCCAGAGCCAAAGCACCACGCTGGGATCAGGAATGGGATCAGGGATGGGATCAGAGCTGGGATCAGGAATGGGATCGGGGCTGGGATCAGGGATGGGATCAGAGATGGGATCAGAGCCGGGATCAGGGATGGGATCAGAGCCGGGATCAGGACTGGGATCAGGGCTGGGATCAGAGCTGGGATCAGAGCCGGGATCAGGGATGGGATCAGAGCTGGGATCAGAGCCGGGATCAGGGATGGGATCAGAGCTGGGATCAGGAATGGGATCAGAGCTGGGATCAGGACTGGGATCAGGAATGGGATCGGGGCTGGGATCAGGACTAGGATTGGGGCTGGGATCAGGAATGGGATCAGGACTGGGATCAGAACTGGGATCAGGGCTGGGATCAGGGCTGGGATCAGGAATGGGATCAGGACTGGGATCAAGAATGGGATCAGGACTAGGATCAGGACTGGGATCAGGACTGGGATCAGGGCTGGGATCAGGAATGGGATCAGGACTGGGATCAGGAATGGGATCAGGACTAGGATTGGGACTGGGATCAGGGCTGGGATCAGGACTGGGATCAGGGCTGGGATCAGGGCTGGGATCAGGAATGGGATCAGGACTGGGATCAGGACTGGGATCAGGACTGGGATCAGGACTGGGATCAGGGCTGCAGCTCCTGCCCTGGCTCCCACCCCGGCGCTGTCGTGCCCGGAATTCCAAGCAGGCTCAGCCCAGCCCAGATGCCGGGCGGACACTCCAGGAGGACAAGCCAGGCTTTATTCCCTGCTCCATCCCAGCCTGGCAAAGGCCTCGGGACACAGACCCGGCTCTGTTCCGCCCCCGGCATCCCGGGATGCAGCACCGGGAATGGCCCTGGCACTGCTGGAATATCCCGGGATGCAGCACCGGGAATGGCCCTGGCCCTGCTGGAATATCCCGGGATGCAGCACCAGGAATGGCCCTGGCCCTGCTGGAATATCCCGGGATGCAGCACCGGGAATGGCCCTGGCAGTGCTGGAATATCCCGGGATGCAGCACCGGGAATGGCCCTGGCCCTGCTGGAATATCCCGGGATGCAGCACCGGGAATGGCTCTGGCACTGCTGGAATATCCCGGGATGCAGGGACAGCTCCCCCAGCTCTCCCGGCTCTCCCAGCCCTGGGATTAGGGAGCAGGAACACCCAGCTCTGATCCCGGATTTTGCAGGAAGGAGGGAAAGGACGGGAAGGAAGGGAAGGCAGGCGAGTGCAGCTCCCAGCCCCTGGATCAGGGAGGGAAAGGCAGCGCTGCAGCGCTTTGGGCGCTTTCCAAAATAGCTGCTACCGGGAAAAAAAACTGGGAATGCAACCAAGGGCCTATGACAAATCCTCCCTACGCAGCTCCCGGAGCCGCTGCCAGCCGGAGCCCGGCCGCTCCGCGGGGATGTGCCGGAGCCCCCGCTCCAAGGGACGTGCCAGGGACGTGCCAGGGACGTGCCAGGGATGTTCTGGAGCCCCCTGCCCACAGGGATGTGCCCGAGCCCCTCCTCTCTCCCGGGATTTGCCGGAGCCCCCCGCCCCCAGGAGGAAAGGCCACACATTCCAGCTGCAGGGAAGCTGCTCTGGAACATTCCCCACTCCCAAAGCTCCTGGTGGGGAAGGGAAATCAGGGAGGGGCCCTCGGGAAGGACAAATGTTTATCCCGGGATGCAGAGCGGGGATGAATCCTCCAAAGCCACCCCTGGGACTGGGGGAACCTCATCCCGGTGTCCCCAAAACCGACACAGCCGGGGGGGTCCAGAATCCCAACGGATCCCACAGGATCCCAACGGATCCCACAGGATCCCACAGGATCCCAATGCCAGGAAACCGGGAATGGGGGCTGGGCCAAGGGGGGAGCGAGACTCCCTCACACCCCAGAGCCCTGGAACGGATCCTGGGAACGGAATCCGGGAATGGAACCTGGGAATGGATCCTGGGAATGGAACCTGGGAATGGATCCCGGGAATGGATCCTAGGAATGGATCCTGGAATGGATCCCGGAATGGAATCTGGGAATGGATCCTAGGAATGGAACCTGGGAATGGATCCTGGGAATGGAATCTGGGAATGGATCCTGGGAATGGAACCTGGGAATGGATCCTGGGAATGGATCCTGGGAATGGATCCTGGGAATGGATCCTGGGAACGGAATCTGGGAATGGATCCTGGGAATGGAACCTGGGAATGGAACCTGGGAATGGAACCTGGGAATGGATCCTGGGAATGGAATCTGGGAATGGATCCTGGGTACGGCAGTGGGAATGGCAGTGGGAATGGGAATGGCAGTGGGAACGGCAGTGGGAATGGCAGTGGGAATGCTGGGTGGGAACGGCACTGGGAATGGCAGTGGGAATGGCAATGGGAATGGCAGTGGGAATGCAGTGGGAATGGCAGTGGGAATGGGAACGGCAGTGGGAATGGCAGTGGGAATGCCAGGTGGGAATGCCGGGTGGGAATGCCAGGTGGGAACACCAATCCCTGGAAGGACTCACATCCCGCCGATGGACACGGTGGCACACGTGCGCTCCGAGAAGGCCGGGACGGTTTCGGTGGCGCTGCTGGCGGGACGGATGTAATCCACGGAAACGTTCACCTGCAACGGGGACACGGCTCAGGGCCAAACCCCCGGGATCGGCCAGACAGGCCTTCATCTTCATCATCATCATCTTCATCATCATCATCATCTTCCTCATCATCATTATCACCATCATCCTCATCTTCATCATCTTCATCTTCATCATCATCATCATCCCCATCATCATCCTTATCCTCATCATCATCATCATCACCATCCCCATCCTCTTCCTCATCCTCATCCCATGGATCCCATCCCATGGATCCCATGGATCCCATCCCACGGATCCCATCCCATGGATCCCATCCCATCCCATGGATCCCATCCCACGGATCCCATCCCATCCCATGGATCCCATCCCATGGATCCCATCCCATCCCATGGATCCCATCCCACTGATCCCATCCGATTTCCCATCCCATCCCATGGATCCCATCCCATGGATCCCATCCCATCCCCACTGACCCCCTCTTGTCCCCCAGCTGGAAATGGACCTGGCCAAAGGGGAGGCTCGGCACAAAGAAGCAATTCTGAAAGTCAGGGAAGAGGCCAGAGTGGAACTGGACCTGGAGAGACAAAAACAGCAGGAACTGATCACAAAATACCAGAGAGAACACGAGGAGCTGCAGCAGAAGGTGTGCAATGCTCGAGAGGAAACTTGTGCCAGAACATCACAGAAAACTAAAAATGGGAATGTGAAGGAATAATAATAATAATAATAATAATAATAATAATAATAATAATAATAATAATAATAGTAATAGTACCCTGTGTGTCATCCTCTCTCTGGATAACACAGTGCTTTTCCCCAGCCTTAGGAGATTTAGTTTTTTTAATTATCAGGCTGAAAATGACTACTCCAGGTCAAGTTAACTGGTGTGGAAGTTCTTTCTCATCTCATATTTTCACCACCAAAACTCCATCTATGTCCCCAGAGTTGGTAATTACATTTAATCTGACATCATCATTTTTTAAAAGCTTGGGACTGTTTCAGGCTGTGATGAGGTGCCACAATCCCACCCAAGGGAACCCAGCAGCTCCAGGGTGAGTGGCCAGTAAAGGCTTACTGGGCTGGACTGGTGCTGGCCACAGGGGTTTGGGAGCTCCAGATCCTCCTCAAATTTTATACAAAAATTGAGAAATTGTACCTGTAACCTAAATTTTCAAAAGGTTTGATCCAATTCATGAGAAAATGGGAGAAAAGTGGAAAAATAAAAAGGATTGTGATGAGGTTCTGTTGTTATTTAAAGTCTGGGACATTGTGATTTAGAGCTGAAAATAAGTCTGGCTTTGTTCACTTGGCAAATATTTAACCATGATTTTTAAACCCTGAGGAAACCCTGTCTTGCAGTAAATTTAACTTGAAGTTAAATTTTCCCTTTTTTACCTCAATGTCTGTGTTTGATCTTGAACACACTAATTAATCTCTGTGTTCTCAGTGAGTGGTGATTAATTTACAGCTCTCTGGTGTCCTCTGAGGGAATTATGTAAATTCAGAGCTTTTTTTTTTCTCTCTCTGAGGACCTGCAAGTTTAAATTTGTTGGTTTTTTTTTCTTCAAGCCAACATTTGTCTGCTATTAATTCTCCATATTTAGAGTGGAGATTAATTCCTGTCTGATCTCACCCAGATCCCAGGTTTAATATCCAGTGCCACCAAGAGCTTGAGGATGGAGACGGAAATTCTGGAGAAGAAGCTCCAAGATGCCCAAATGAAGCTGGCAGAGAAGGATGGAGACAAGGAAAAAGAAATCCAGAGCCTCAAAAGGCTCATCAGTGAGCTTGAATTCCAGCTGACCATGGAAAAGAGCAACAGTGAATCATTCCTGGATAAACTGAGGAAAGAAATTAAGCACAAGACAGATGAACTGGAAAAATTAACCCAGGAGAAGACACAGCTGATTCACAGTTTGAGCCAAGTTCAAGAGGAGGTAGGAACAGGTCCCAGGAAATGCCTGGTTATTTTTACTTGGAGACATGTGATTTCTAAAATCATCCAAAGGTCTGTGTTTCAGACCAGAAAATCCCTTGAAATGCAAAGATTTCTCAGAAAAATCCATCATCATTCCCTAAACATGCTAAATCACAAAAGATGGAAATTTTTAATTCAGCAAATGCTTGATCTTAAATTAGCATTTTATAGGAGAATATATCTATTTTTCAGGTCCTGCAGGGCCTTTCTTAGTCTGTAGCCTCATGTCCCACTGCCCAAACACGGGTAAACAATGAAGAATTCCCAGTTTTTAGAGTAGAAGACACAGATATTTCCCATTCCTTGAACTGGTGTCCCAGCTCCCACCAGTGCAGCCACGTTCCCTAACTCAGGAATGCATAAAAATGAATTAAATGCAAAGAGAAGTTCAACTGATGGATATTCTGACCACAAACATTTGCTGAATGCTTGGAATATAATGGGAAGGGAGGAGAGAGCTGCTCCATGGGAAATGTGGAGTCAGGGACTGCAGATAAGATTAGGCTGGAATGTCCAGTGGCAGGAGAAAGAATTGGTCAACAGGGAAAATAAAACTCTTCCAAGTGATTTAGTGCTGGGGTTGGTACTGATTTATTCCTTGGGAAGGTTGGGACAGGTGTGAGTGGAATTCCAGTGGGGGTGTGCCCATCCCAGGGATGGGGATGTGGGATAAGAGGGGCAGTGCTGGGACGAGAGGGCTCCATGGGCTTCCCATGAGGGATTCCACAATTGCACGTGTTCACAGCTGCTGCCACGATCCTGCAGGCTCTGCTCTCCCTCCGCACAGGGGAAAGCAGCACCAACCCCCCTGGCTGCCGCTGCACCTCCGTCCAGCCTTGTCTTTCCTTCCCAAGAGCAGCATTCCCAGCTCTCCCAGCCGGGCAGGAGCAGGAATCCCTCCTGAGCACCTCCCTGGCGTTTCCCATCGCCTCCTGACGGGACAGGAGGACAATGCGGGGCGGTTCCTGTCCCGGGGGTGTCCCGGGGTGATGGAGCAGTGTCCCGGGGTGATGGAGCAGTGTCCAGGGGTGATGGAGCAGTGTCCCGGGGGTGATGGAGCAGTGTCCAGGGGTGATGGAGCAGTGTCCAGGGGTGATGGAGCAGTGTCCCAGGGGTGATGGAGCAGTGTCCCAGGGGTGTCCAGGGGTGATGGAGCAGTGTCCCAGGGATGATGGAGCAGTGTCCCAGGGGTGATGGAGCAGTGTCCCAGGAGTGTCCAGGGGTGATGGAGCAGTGTCCCGGGGGTGTCCAGGGGTGATGGGTGCAGCATTCCCGGTGTTTCTCTCTTTGCAGAATTCCCTGCTGCAGGACACGGTGTCCCGGGGTGTCCAGGGGTGATGGGTGCAGCATTCCCGGTGTTTCTCTCTTTGCAGAATTCCCTGCTGCAGGACACGGTGCGCCGGGAGTGCGAGGAGCGCTTCGAGCT